GCTCCTCCCAGGCCAGCTGAAGCAAATGGGAAAGTGGAGAAGCCTGCAGCTGACAACCAGGAGATGTGGGGTCAGGATCAGCTCTGTTACTATCTGTCAAAACTCTCTGGGTTTTCTTTTGTAAAATATGAGCATTGTACTAGATAAATGATTTCCCCTAGTTATATCCAAGAGCTTAAATAAAGATACCTGACGTTTTAGTTAGCATCATCTCAGCTGTCTCCTTTCAACCAAAAATATCATGATTCGCAGTGAATTCTCACTCAGTCCACAGTAATCTTTTTCTTCTCTGAATCCATGGCTCATCGTTTGCCAAATAAATTCTGCCCTGACATTTATGGAGCCCAGGGCAAGAAAACAAAAGGAGACCCACATACTATTTGTTTAAATATGTAAAAGTTACAAATTGAGCTAATGAGCAGTATATGTAATATGTTCTATCTTTCTACCATGACAAATAAATCTTCATAATGCACTGCAAACCCAAGCTCAAAATTAGAATCCTCAGATTTCTTGGAGATTTGTTCTGGAAAGTGACGTGACAGTGCAGAGAGGGCCACTCCTGGTCTAGGACACTGGCCCATGGCCCTCTTCCCTTCTTTCCCAATCTGGCTCTGTTCCCATAAGAAAAGAGAACATCATGCTTATGGATGTGGACACATCAGTACGTACATGCAAGCTCCATCAACTTTCCCCAACACACACACACAGTCATCCCTTTCCAACCAACACCATACTGACTATATTGTTGTCATTTATAACATGTCTTAAAATCTGGTAATGTTAAGCTTTCTAACTTTTTTTCAAAGTCATTTTGACTTTTCTAGGGATTTTGCATTTCAGTATGAAATTTGAATAAACTTATCAGTTTCTACAAGGAAGCCTGCTGAGACTTTAATTGAGATTGCACTGATCTATAGATTAGGAGAGAAGTGACGTTTTAATGATATGAAGTCTTCTAATCTATGAATATGGTACAGCAGATCTTCAAATAATGCTGTTTCAGTTCAATGTCTTTTTGTTCTAACATTGATGATATTCTGTAGGAACTTACTATTGTTTATATTAATTAGTCAAGGGTAAAATTGGATCTGTTATATATCATTTTCCTTAAAGTTGCAGAACCTATTGATAACTGTGAGGATTAACTGTATATCTCATCATTTATTTAGGTTTTCTTTAATTTTTCTTAGTAACATTTTGAAGTTTTCAGATATCAGGTCATTCACAGCTTTTATCAGATTTATCTCTAAGTATTTCATATTTTTGATGCTATAGTAAAATATAATTTCAAAAAATTTCAATTTCTAATTGTTAGGTAGTCAAGCATTGTGGATTTTACCCTACTAAATGCTAAATATTTTTGTATGGTATATGTATTTCTAAGCTTCGTTCTGGACACATTTATGTATTTGAAAACAATTTAATCCTTTTAGGTCTTGCTTTTAATCTTTGTTAGGCAACAGCAGAGCAACAATAATTCCAGGACTAATTTTGCTCCACCACTGAGTGAAGATCCTTTTGAATCCTTGCCAATGACCATCAAATTAAGTTTTTCACTCTTGCCGATGGAACTGTGCACTATTACCAGCTCTGTGTGATCTCTAGGAGAGTGTTCTAATTATTTTGAGTGACCTTTGGGTAATTCCCTCACATGCGCGTGCTAATCATTAATCAGTCAGCTACACCCTCAAGAAAGATCCTCTACAGATCAATCCCCAAGGTCTCTGTGCAACTCTCTCTTTGTTACTCTGTCATTCAGACTGCCTTGCCTTCTCCTGTGAGTCTTAATTCCATCTCTTCAACTCATGGTGACTGCTGGGCTACTCCTGAGTTCCTCTTCCCTTCTCTATGGCCTGGAAACTTGACATAGGAAGTAAGCTGGGTTAATCATAGGACTCACCTCTTTTGTTTCCTGTCTCTCTGGGATCACTTTCTTTTATTGACTGATGTTCATTATATTGGAAACCACTGTTTCCTATATGTTGCCCAGTTTTTGCTGTTTCAGGCAAGAAGGTATATCCAGTCCCTGTTACTCCATCATGGCCAAGGACAGAAGTGTACCTTTACCTCAGTGTTTAATTAAATGCTTATTTATTTTTCTCACTTTTTTTTTCATAATTAATACATTTAAGGCTCTAAGTTTTCCTGTGAATATTTTTTTCCAAATCCTCAATTTTTCTTATATTTAGTTCCTTTGTTACTCATTTTGTTTCCAAATTCTATTTTGTTATATTATTTAACCTGTTGTCTAAAAGGCTTTAAATTATTGTTATAAAACATGCTCAAAATTGCAGAGAATACTACAGTGAATTCCTATATACCATTCACCCAGATTCAACAGTTATGAAGATTTTCCACATTTGTTTCATCTGTTCATTTCTGTTTTATTTTTCTTTGTGAAACTATTTTCATGAAAATCCTAAATAACATATCATTTTCCTTCAGCATATTTTAGTTCCTGAAATTAAAAAAATTATCTTTCTTAAACACAATGTTATGATTACACCTAATAAAATGAACAGTAATTCTTCAGAACTATTTTATAATCATACCATGATCAAATTCTCCTGATTGTCTCAAAAATATTTGTACAGAGTATTTATTCGAATTAGGATTGAATCAAGGTTCACTCCTTACATATGGTTGTTGTGCTTTTTAAGTCTCTTTTAATCAAACTGTGTCCTTCTTCTCTACACCTTTCTTTACCATTGGCTCGTTCCATAAGCCAGGTCAGTTGTCCCATAGAGTGTCTCACATGCTGATTTCTTTCTTCACTTCATTGTGGTTTTATTTATTTTCCTTCTTTATCCCCTGCATTTCCTCTAGTTACCTTAGACACCTGATTAGATAAAGATATAACTTTTTTTTTCTTTTGACAAGACTATGTTACAGTTAGTGCTGTGTTTTTCATATTGCATTATATCAGGAGGCGCCTAATGTCTGTTTTCTATTTTTAGTGATGCTAAGATTGATCAAAGTGCTTAGGTGCTGACAGTCTGATCCCTCCATTATAGCTCCTCGCTGTTGTCAACTGATATTTCCCTTTGAAGACTGTTGCATGACTCAATTATTTTATTAGGAGTGACGAAGTGATAATTTTTGGATTCTATGATTTCTTGCACATTTATTAGCTGGAATTCTTCTGTAAATATGATCTTTATCTCTTAAATTAGGACTATCTTATTAACCTTAAAGACAAGATAAGTGTATAATTCTTTCCTTTTGATTGCCAATTTTTAGAGTAAGAAAATTGGTGGTCTGGTATTTCCAGTGATGGCCAATAGCGGCCCCTCTCTCCTATATTCAATTGGTTAAATTCATTTAATGAATATATTTTTCTTAATAATGCCCCAATTGTGCCCCTTTGTGACTGCAGAGCCCCACTGAGCCAGACACTTTGCTTCAGTGTTGAGGTGGGAGATAAAATTTCCCTCAGAGGGCTAGTGGCTACTTTTTCATGGAAAGCCAAGATACTGCTGAGCCAAGTTGACTGGGTTTCACTTTTCAAGTGAGGCTTGTCAGGCCTTTCTCACATTCTTAGTCACCGAGTCTGAGGTTACCCACCCCAGTGGGACTATCAGGCTAGACAGTCACAAGGCCTCCATGAGTCAGGTGTGCAGTTTCAACCTGAGCCCAAGAGCAAGCCAGTAGTTGATTTTCAAAAGGGGTGTGCTTGGGCGGGGGGTGGAGGTGGGGGGTCACATCAGGGAGGTTACATGTCCAAAACCTCTAGGAGTGCGTCGAGTGGAGGCTACCTCTGTTTCCCAGAGACTCTATTTGGTAAAATCATTAGTCACAGTGACTAGTAGCTCAGCGGAGTTAGGAGAGTGAGTCCCCAAGGGCGCCAGCATGTTTTTTGCATGTAGATCTTCCCAGTCAGAATCCTCTCCAGCACTAATGGGACAAGAAGTACAAGCATATAATATGTCATGGGACTGTTGCTGATATCTATTTCTCCTTGAGTCTAACCAGGAGAAAGAATCCACACTGTAATTTAACAGAGAAAGTTGAATGTGAAGAATTAAAAACTATACTGAGAGGCTGAAATAATGCAGCATTGGCTACTAAGAAGAGAACCCTAAAGAATGTAGAAGTAACAAATATAGAGAGCAGCCGCTACACTTAAGGCTGAGATGGAACTCCCAGCCTCCTCTGCCCCACCGGCAGAGTTGAGTTCCAGGTCCTGTTGAGAGGGCATAGCTGTGGCTTGCTGAGCGAAAAAGTTACTGTGGTATTGTGCTGGTCACATTTGCTGGAAATTTGCCCTAGAGGGTGCTAAGGAAAGTTGTTCATGTGTTCATGGGGAAGGACTGAGCTATAAAACTAGCCAAGTGTGCTGCTGGAGACGGGGTAAGCTGCTGCCACTGGGTGCTGCTGGCTGCCATGCACTACGTGCAGAGCACTGGAGAAGCAGCAAGCCCTGTGGAAGCTGGGCCCTGGGAACCCATGTGCCCTACAGGAGCAGGACACTGGGGAAGTCCACTAGGGCTGAGGAGCACATCTGAACTAGGAGGCAAAACCCTGTCCTCCTACATCCTCTACTGACAAAGTTTAGCATTGTTACAGCTGGCAAAAGAAAAATATTTAAAGGACCCACATTCATGTTCACAGAGTAGGAAAAAAGGGTGACTATGGAGCAGAGAAGCAGGAAGCCCACGATTGGCACACTATATCTGTTGAAAGGGACTTTTACTTGTATCTATATCTTAAAGAAAATATGATAAAAGGTTGAGTTAAATTCTAAATAGTGGGATTTTTAGTGTTTCATTTTGTAACTTTCTATATTTTTAAATTAGTAAAGAAAAATATCTTGGTGAGAAACAGTGATTGATATGTTACCTAAGCTTGAGAAAATTTGAATTGGTAGTTCAATCTCCCTACATTTAAAAAAAAAAAAAAAGGATCCACATCAACTTTTTAAACTTGTATGATCTGAATTCTTTTGAAGAAATAAAAAAGTTCTTATCGTTGTTCATCCACACATTCATTTATTCACTACACATTTAATGAACATCTTTTCCATGCCCATGACCATACATGGTCTCAGGTCTCAAGTTTCTCACAGTCCAGTGGGCGAGAGACAAAATCTTGGATAGTTAAACTGAATCACAACTGAAAAAAATGTAAGAGAGTTATTTACTCAGAAGAGGCTCTAGATATCCTCCTGGTACAGTGTGCCTGAGCTGTGCTAAAGGAAATAATAAGAATTATTTGAGTAAAAGAGAGACAGAAAGGATTTTTTGGAGACAACAATCGTTTGAAAAAATTAAAAGTCTAGCTCAATTTTCACCTATAAAATAATTAAACCAAGAGAATGGAAAACATTATACTTTAAATAAGGAATGTCTATAAGAAAGAGTTATAGTCTAAATGAAAAGATCAAGAGTTAGTGCATTTATAAATGACCTATGATCCTACAGTTCTCATTGTGCCAGGAGAGCTTTAAAAAAAAGAGAGAGATACTAAATTTTAAGCAGTTGGGATAACTCAGCATACATTTCAGAGTAGAATCAACACATTCTGGTACAAGGGACACAGACATCACTTATGAAACATTCATTTTATCACATTCATCTTCTCCTAAGTGAAAGTAGTGTGACATTTGCATGTTTATCCTGGGCTTCTCAAAGAGATAGTGTAAGATGAGATCGCTGTTTTCCATGTATGTGTAATTATTTCCAATCTTATTGCCTATGTGTTGAGGCATGCTGCAATCCTTTTCTTTGGGAGAAGTCACTATGTTGCTCTTCCAATTACCTAGAGTGATTCATATGTCTGAAATGAAAAGATAATTCCATATTGGTGCCACTGATAATGCCATTGGTATTGCTGTGCTGGACAGAGAACCAAGACTGTACTAAATCACTGATCTTTGACACATGTATAAAGCACTTAAGCCACCCTGCAATTCAGGGGTTCAACTTGCACTGACTTGATGATTAAATTCTATTTCCACTCAGGGTTTTCTACTAACATTGTGAGGAGAGATTAGTAAACAGTTGACTTAAATTTTTTTTTCTCAGAGAATGGCAGTGGAACCCACTCAAGTTATTGCAATTAAAATGTTAAATCTTGAAGATGTTTTTGTCCTTTACTTTTTTAATTAATAATTTTATTTTTAGAGCAGTTTTAGGGTCACAGTAAAATTGAGAAGCAAGTACAGAGAGTGTCCATACACCCCCTGTCTCTCACATGCACCGTCTCCTCCACTATCAACACCCCCATCAGAATCGCACATTTGCTACAATCAACGAACCTACACTGACACATCATTATCACCCAAAATCCATTCTTTCCATAAAGGTTCATTCTTGGTGTACATCTTATGGGTTTTAACAAATGTATAATGACATGTGCCCACCATTATAGTGTCACACAGGAATGTTTACTCCTCTAAAAATCCTCTGTGCTCTACCTAGGCACCCCTCCCTCCCCTCTAACCCTTGGCAACCACTGATATTTTTACTCTCTCCATAGTTTTGTTGTTTCCAGAACATCATACAGTTAGAATCATATAGTATGAAGCGTTTTCCGATTGGCTTCTTTCATTATTAATATGCATTTAAGGTTCCTCCAAGTCTTTTCATGGCTTGGTTGA